TTTGTCTTTCAGGACCATCTCAAGCTCAAAATGAAAAGAAATATGTTGTTGAAGAACTTGACTTTTGTGAAATGTTTTCTCCATTGAATGAAACTTTGACTGTAAATGCACTAGTAAATATTAAAATGACAAAAACAATTAATCGAACTATGGGTATGTCAATAAATGATGATTCAATGTATGGTGGTTTATGGCTACCTAAATTGTCCGTGACAACACTTTCGGATGCACTTGTTTACGTAGAAAATGGTGAATATTTACGATATTTGCCTGAAAGAACACGTCTTATTGTTGATATGAGTGAATCAGATTTTTTTGTACAAAACACTCAAGAACCAATTGCTCGAAGAAATGAAATAATATTTCATACTGTTTTATTTTCGAGTAAGAATAATCTTTCTTTTGTTCATTGATGAAGAAAGTTTAGTATTTGTTTGTGTTCTAGTGTTGTGCTTGGGTCTTTTTGGTTTGTTATTCCTTCTTGTCAAGCTATTGATTGTTCCCGTTGTTAAATTCATGCAACAACGTTACTTTGCTCGTGGAATGGGAAGTTCTGACAATGGTGAAGACGATGATATTATTGACAAAGTTATTGAAGAAGAAGTCGAAAAAGCGATACGAAATCTGAAGCAAAGATGATTCTTACATCAGATAGAAGAGAACATATTTTTGAGCAAGGTTTTGGAATTTTTCGTGTAATGAACATGATGTATATCATTTTATTTTATTTTGGAAAGATGTGGATGAAAAATGTGAATATGATCATATACTTCACCTACATCCACACCCTTACAAAAGCGAAAAATATTTGGTTGAATAAAGTTCACATGTATGCTTATCAGAGACGATTACAAAGTAGTTTTTTGGTCTGCCCTGAGGACAGAACAGGACTGGGATGGACATCTAAATTAAGGAAGCCTAGTACAAGATGTAAAATCTTCATAAAAATTAAGTGATTGCTTTCGAATTTCGTACCGAAACTTTATGTGATTTCGAAAGTTCCACAATCAAAGTTATTATGTAATGAAAAACCATCATGTACCGGAGAGTACTGTTTTACAAACTTTAGAAATCATATAATTTGAATGCAAATCTTAGATTTAAAAATTGAATAAAAATGCTACTATTAAAATCAGATTATTCAATTTTCAACGATTTTCAATAATGGTACGGAAGAAAGATGTATTTTTGAAAGTGAAACTTAACAAATTCATTCTTTATCTGAACTTCTTACTACGATAAATAGGAAGTGTAATATTAGGTCGATCTTTGACATATCATGTTTCAACGTACGATAGTAATTGCTTACTCAACGTATAAACTAAAATAGCACTAAATAAAACTCATATCCCATTTCCATGGAATAAAATTGATAGGTTACATTTAAGAAAGTTGATATAACCCTACCAATACTGGCCTTCTATTCATCGCCTAAATTTTTTCTCGCATTCATCTAGCGAAGCAAACATTTAAAAAAATATTCTGTGACTCATTTTTTCATCTAGAAGAATGCTTAAAGATCCGATTAAAATTGATTGTGTCTGGCGTTAAAATTAATTCAAATAGCACTATTTTAGATTGCATTTAGTTAGCTTTCAGTTAAAAAGACAGATGTTGTTTAATTGTAAAATTTTTTAATAATATTTTGGATGGAATACGTTTAATCAATTGAAATTAATTTCTGATAATCATTTATAATTGCTTTATTTATAGATGGAAAAGGATTTTAAATCGAATGAAATCTGTCAATGAGATGATAAAATCTGAACTTAAGCCTTTTATCGTTGGTAGGCGTTTTTAGAAACTAAATATTGCAGAATACTAAGCATTTTATTGAAACAAATTGCTTCATATCAGTAAAGTGATTTTAATTTCAAAGCAATTATCTGTTACTCAGAACCCAAGCTTGACATTAACAAATCTAAAGAATTTCAGAATTTTTAAAACCGAAATTAGGAATCACATTCGCTTCTATTTTGCCTTTTGTTGTTTTCCTCTGAACGAATTTCTAATATAAAATGATTGTTTATTTATCGTAGGTATTAAACTAAAGATGGCTAGTTTTCAACAGTGCTGAATAAAGTCTTCTCTTCAGATTAACAGGCAACATTTTATTAGATTTCTTGGTGAAACTATTTTTAAAACCCATATACACTTTTTGAGCTGAGCAAGAAAATCTTGTCACTTTAATCAGTTTTCTAATAAAAATACTGAATTTTAATTAGATTTTGTTAAAATCTTTTTTGAATCAGGATCAAAAAGTTTAGCCTGCCTTATCTTTTTTGCGTAAAAATCGTCTTTATGACTTCTTAGTTTCTATATTGACTTTTTCTCATTTCTTATCTCTACGACTTCGTCTGCAAAGTCATAAAAAGAAAAAGAAATAACACTATTTTATTATTGATCTATTAGAAAATAGATTGTCACTTGAGTAATCTTCTCTCACAATCATCAATCAAAAAAATAATGTTCGTAATAGTTAAGGATATAGCAGACGATACTAAAGGCAATAAACAACAAGATCATAAATTTTTTTTTTACTTCACAGTCATTTATTGACAAAAAAAAACTGAAGTACATTTATGTTTAAGATCTTTCTTTTATCTGTTGTCGTAGAATTGACTGGAGTACAAATTATAGTCAAATGATATGTTCTAAAGAAAAGATTTTTTTTGTATGAAAATGTGTTATTCGAAGCCATGAGAAGCAATTATTTTATGTTAAGTTACTTTCTATTTCTTTAGTATTATAGATTAAAAATTCATTATTAAAACATAATGAATTTCATGTATTTGATTTCGATATTAATTATGATGTATTGTATTCGTATGTATTGGGCACAACGACCTCCAACTAATTATCGTGAATATGATAGTTATGGACCACTTTTCGCAATGAATGAACATGTAGCAATATTTGCACAAAATGATAAAGTACGTTTTGTTCTTGTAAAAAAGCCGTATAATAGTTCTTCGATGTGGAATTGTACGTTAGACTATACTAAAATTAAACATTCTTCAACATCAATGACTTATTTCGTATATAGTGTAGCTATTGGAGCAAAACAAAATAGTAGCCATTTAGCATTTGCTTATATAGAAGAGAATGGTCAAAATCATGTGTTTTTAACAGTGATTTTTCTTGAAGATACTGCCACGGGCTGTTTGAATTTAAATCGAAATTTATCATTCAATGTGACTGAATGCGCCATGGGAGAAAATGGCATCGTTGCGATGGATCCATATGGATTGCGAGCTTATGCAATAAGTACTTTTTGTAGTGCTTTTATTAATTTAACAACGAGTGAAGCTTCAATAATAGACAACAGTAAAGTGGTCGATATGGAAAGTATTGAAGCTCAGGTATTCTTTCCAAAAGCTATAACAATTACCGAGGATCATCATGCATTTATAGCTTGTCATCGTGCAGTGTTTATTAACTATGGTTTTATTGCTTATTTATATGTAGTGAATTTTCTTGATTTTAACAATGCTAAACTCATAACATTAGTAGAATTAACACCGTATAATTTCGGTCAGGATGGAAGAATTATCAATCGGAATACAACGATGTCTATTGCACTTGATGAACAATATGGAGTAGTACTTGTGGGTATCCCTCAATTGGATATGGTAATTTTTTCAACATATAATGACACAAAACATCTAGAAATCTTCGCAAAACAAGTATCAGATCAAAGTGGAGTTGGATTTGGTAAATCTATTGCATTGATCAATGGTGATACATATGTAGTACTTGCTTATGCGCAACCTACTCTACCATGGTCTAAATCTCAAATACAGGTGAGAATAATTATAATCATAAGTCGAAAAAGGAAATAAATAGCACCATATCATTGACTTCAACGTAGGTTGCAAAGAGTATGATGGATTGAAGTGAATCTTGTACATTTTGCGTCGGAAGAAAAAAACATTTCTTTGATTGGAATTGGATGTCAGAGTATGCACATGTTGGTTTGTTGATTCTCAGCATTTATAAGTATTGATCGATTGTTGGTAGTACTTTGTTTTCAAATGTTGATTTACTTTCTTCTCTGTAACTCCTAAGGAATATCTGAAGAAAATTGTTCAACGAGTAGTTTTATTCAAGATCAAATAATCAATAATTAACATATATAGATTCTTCATATTATGTTTATAAAAAAAACAAGCTACAAACATCATTTAAGAAATATCCTAGAAAAACGAAACAAAATAGTTTGCAGTGAAACAGCAAAATTTTTTGGCAAAACTAATCCTTTTTATCACATAAACCTTCAAGTGTATCATTTAAACAGCCATTTTCACCATAAACGTGTTCATTTGTGCCATTGTGTTACAGACAGACAGACATGTAGCACGAATGAATTTCTCCTTTCAAGCACTCACTGATTTGCATTTAAATAACAACGATCCATACGAATATGCGTGAGAAAATATTTGAAGATTTCAACATAATTCAACCTTCAAAAAATTAGTATTAATCAGATAAACTTAAGTGAAGTATAAATTAATAATTTATCTTACATTTAGTCCATGATAAATGACATATGTTTTAGAGAAATATATTTTCGATGAAATTAAATATCGCCTTTGTAGTTTAAAATTCAGAAATCTATTTTGAAGTTTCTCATAATCCTTTTACTTTTATTATTAAACTTCTAAATAAAAATTGCGTAAATGAATTAGATACAACCGAGAATCCTTGAAAACTTTGTGTGCTGAAGTATAAGAGTGAAAAACTTATGATTTTACTTTGTAACTAATTGAAAGAGAAAATAGGCTAATTTCTTATTTTTCAATCGCCATAATATAGTACAATTGGTACCGAATCCATGGGAAAATGTTTCGACTAACTGTTTTCTTATTTCAATTATCCATCATGAAACACAAACTTTTCTTTACAACACTTGATAGCCTCTTCATTTACATAACTTTATGTTCCATCACTAGGTATATTCATTAGCAAATATTCCAGAAAACAACCGACCACTCTATGTGTATCCTAATAACCAACAGATCATTCCAGTGATCGATTCAAAACCAACTTCCCCTACTATTCTCACTCTTGTTTCATGGAAAGAACATATTGCGTTGGTACTTGATGTTGGGATCGCTCTTATTCTTCCAACTAGTCCACCGGGAAGCTGCTCATCAAAGATCGAACATGGCTTTTCCAGTATTATGATTTACACTTCCACACCGTGTATTCCAGGTACTGCACGAAATACAACAAGTTTTGAACCTTGCCTTCTATGCCCCTCAAATGTGAAAAGTAATGGTAGCGGAGCTATGCAATGTTATCCATGTGAAATAAAT